CCCAGAGATTATTGTGGCCAAATAGAGGTAGACAATAAACAAAAATATACAAAATTGTTCAGGGCATATAAATGCTATTGGAAAAAATAAAACCATAATATCTGTCTTCCCTTTAGATAATAACCTACATAGTCATGATGGCAGTGACTATATCTAGCTTATGCTAAGGGTTATTGGGTGGTTGGATGGATGGATAGATGGACAGATAGAAACATGGATAAGTGAATGAACTGACAGATGAGTGGAATCCAACATTCATTAGAGATCCTAAGAAACCATATATATCCTTCAATGAAAAGTCATTGGTTCAACTATACATTTAATAGTCAGGTGTGGTGGTGCATACCTGTAATCTCAGCAGGGATTGAGTGGCTGAGGCAGGAGGATCCAAATTGGAGGCCAGCCTTGGCAACTTAGCTGGACCCTGTCTCAAAATAAAATATAAAAAAAAAAAAAAGGTTGGGGATGTAGCTCAGTGGTAGAGCATCCCAATACAGAGGGAAAAAAATTTAGTGAGTCCTCATTGTGAGCCAGCACACTGCTAGATCTTGGGGATAAAGTCAAATAAGAATAAGTCCTGCCCTCAGAGAGCTCACACACAGATTTCTAAAGAAATCATGGCCCCTGTGTTCTGTGCTTAATTGGTGGTGGGGAGAGGAAAGAGTACCAGCAAGGCATTATTTTGGTAGAACTGGTACCCAGAGAGGAGTGGTGGGAAACCAAATGTTGGTCCACCTCATCTGTGCACATCACCCCTTTCATTGCGGAAATCTGATGAGTTTATCAGACCATTTCTAAAGGTCAGCGGAGCTGAATGATTAGGGACATTGAAGTTGTTAGTAAGTTGTTGCCTAGAAACCTTGTTCAGCACAAAAGTGTCCTTTTTCCACACTTTGTTTGTGCTCTGAGGTGTCAGATTCCGTGTCCTGCTGTGACTGAGACCTGCAGAGCTATCCTTTGGGGCAGGCACAGTAAAGCTGCTCCAGCAGTCTGTCTGTCCAGCCACAAGTAAGTCATCCGAATTCAGATCTGCTCTGCTCCCCATGCACTGCACCTCGTGGCCACAAACCTGCTCTGCTGGTTTACGCTCGCTCGCTCGCTTCTTCCAGAAAGGGGAAACATCTAGACACTACTGGGGTGGGGGCGGGAAGTGCTCTTCCTGTTTCTAGTGTTCTGCCCACAGCGAAATGAACAGTGTCCTGAGGTCACTCATACTTCACCGTTCACAGAGAAAGAGCACCTTGGTGAATTTTTTTACTTGTGAATCTCCAAATTTAATTGTTTCCTACTATTTATAAATAAGATTAGCTTTTCCAATTTAAAAGGAATGTGTATGCCTTATAGAAAATATGAAAATTAAAGAATAAAATGAGGTCTGGGGTTGTGGCTCAGCGGTAGAGCATTCACCTTGCAGGTGTGAGATCCTGGGTTCGATCCTCAGCACCACATAAAAATAAATAAATGAAATAAAGGTATTGGATCCAACTAGAACTAAAAAATAAATATTTTTTAAAGAATAAAATGAAATGATAGTTCCAGGATATATAAAGAACTTGAAAAACTTAACACCAAAAAAATCCCCAAATAACCCAATCAATAAATGGGCTAAGGAACAGAACAGACACTTCACAGAAGAAGTACAATTGATCCATAAACCTATAAAAAAAATGTTCATCATCACTAGCAATTAGAAAAATACAAATCAAAGCTACTCTAAGATTTCATCTCACTCCAGTCAGAATGGCAATTATCAAGAATATAAGCAATAATAAGTGTTGGTGAGGATGTAGGGGGAAAGCCGCACTCATATGTTGTTGGTGGGACTGAAAATTGGCGCAACCACTATGGAAAGCAGCATGGAGACACCTGAGAAAACTTGGAATGGGTCCATATTTGACCCCATTATCCCACTCCTTGGCATATATCCAAAGGACTTAAAATCAGCATACTACAGTGACGCAGCCACATCAATATTTATAGCAGCTCAATTCACAGTGGCCAAACTATGGAACCAAGCTAGATGGCCTTCAACAGATGAATGGATGAAGAAAATGTGGTACATATACACAATGGAATATTACTCAGCCTTAAAGAAGATTGAAATGATGGCATTTGCAGGTAAATGGATGGAACTAGAGAATATCATGCTAAGTGAAATAAGCCAATCCCCCAAAACCAAAAGCCACATGTTTTCTCTGCTAAGCAGTTGCTGATCTGTAGAAGGTATAGGGGGAGAGAAGAATGAAGAAACTTTGGATTGTGCAGAGGGGAGTAAAGGGAAGGGTGGGGCAGTCAGGATAGGAAGGACAGTAGCATGAGATAGGCATTATTACCCTATATACATGTATGATTACACTACAGGTGTGACTCTGCACCATGTACAATCAGAGGAAGGAGAAGTTGTGCTCTATTTGTGTACAATGTGTCAAAATGCATTATACTGTCATATATAACTAATTAGAATTAATTTAAAAATTTTTAAATATTAAAATAAAAAGCGAAAAAGATTAAATGACAGTAAATCACTTAGAGAGCTCTATGTTTTTGTTTGTTTGTTTTTCTGAAACAGAGTCTCACAAAGTTGCTGAGGCTCTCCTCCAAACTGCAACCTTCCTGCCTCAGCCTCCTGAGTTGCTGGGATTACTGGCATGTACCACCATGTCTGATCACTATTGCGATATTTTGTAGTTTTCCTTCTTTTTTTATAACACACATATATATATACTTATAAATTCATACACTCAGTATCCTCTGCAATATCTGAAACATCTTACATGTGCTTAATAAAATTCAATGAATAAATGAACAAATAAGTGGATGGCTATAATTTTATGTTTACACATTTCAATTTATACATACAATATGGAATTTTACTCTTTAAAATACTACTCAATATTCTATGAGTATTGGGCTGGGAATATAGCTTAGTGGTAGAGTCTAGCATGCATGAGGTCAAGAGTTCAATCCCCAGTATCTCTCTCTCTCTCTCTCTCTCTCTCTCTCTCTCTCTCTCTCTCTCTCACACACACACACACACACACACACTTTTTTTATATTATATAGATTTGCAAAGCATTGCACAAAAATGTTATGGTGTGTGATAATGTTGACCTGAGTGAACACCAAGTACATAAATCCTATATTTGCATCTCTGAAGATTTCCTTAGAATAGATTCCAATCCATAAAATTAATCAATAAAAGAAAATAAACTTTTCACGTTTTTATTTTGCAGTGCTAGGGATCAAACCCAGGGCCCTACACATGCTAGGAAGTGTTCCACTGTGGGGCCGAAAACTAGGAAGGCGCCTGGCTAAATGCCAGTAGGAGGACACTGAAGTTGTTTTGAAACCTCCCTGATTGGCTTACTTCTCTTCCTTGCTCATGCACAGCTCATGCTCTTTAATTCCTCCTGCTGACTTGACCTTTATGTTGATTGGTTCCCGCTTTTCCATGTTTTAAAATGATTGGCTTTTACTTCTTATATAAGTTGTGTGTGCTTCCTCAATAAACGAGATCCTGCTTTGACTGGTCTCCCCGGTGGATCTGATTGTCCTCCGGTGGGGAGGGCTGGGTGGGCATTCCACCACTGAGCTGCACCCCCAACTCAAGAATAAACTATTTAAGCCATGCCCAGCAGCTTGGGAGGCTGAGGCAGGTGGATCATGAGTTCAAAGCCAGCCTCAGCAATTTAGCAAGACACTAAGCAACTCTGTGAGACCCTGTCTCTAAATAAAATACAAAAAGGGCTGGGGATATGGCTCAGTGGTTAAGTGCCCCTGGGTTCAATTCCCTATACCAAAAAAAGAATAAACTATTTAAGGTTCAGTAAATGTTCACAGACTTGAAGTTGAAATGATGCTTCATGTTGAAACCCAAGCAGACCTCTGAGAGCTCCCTGGAAGCCTGCAGGCAGTTGTTTTCCATCTGCTAGGTGATCCCCTTTGATGACCTCCTTCTCCATTGGGCCATCCCTGGATGAGCTCCAATTCAACTGTTTTCATCCTCCATAGGGCTCCAAGGAGAGGTCTCCTCCTTACCGTTGCTTTCCATTTAATTTCCCTTCACCGTGGTCTTCAATGTCTTTCTACTTTCTCTAACCGTATCTATTACAAACAAAGACTGTGTCCCAAAGTTATTTCTCTGCTCATTTATTTATTTTTCCATATTGTATGTAGTTGGGAATGGGATTTAAATGGGTATCTTTGTCTTTCCTCTAAACATAACTTCTTTGAACATAATTTGAATGTCATTGTGTGGTTTTGGTGACACCATGATATACATGCCATTTCAGGTGCTTTCATCAATCACATGTGAGTGTATAATGGAAAGGCTTTTTGTTGTGGGTTTTTGTTTTGTTTGGCAGTGCTGGATCTCAAATTCAGGGCTTTGCACATGCTAGGCAAGCACCTACCACTGCACCACATCTCCAGCCTTTTTCATTTTTTATCTTGAGACAGGTGGTTGCCCAGACTGGCTTTGAACTGGTAATCCTCCCACCTCCCACCTTGACCTCCCAAGTTGCTGGGATTGCAGGCATGTGTCACTGTTACTGGCTTCCTATTTGTTTTGTTTTGTTATTATTTTTGGTTGGGGTCTGAGGATTGAACTCAAAGATGCTTTACCATTGAGCTACATCCCCAGTCCTTTTTATTTTTTATTTTAAGACAGGGTCTAAGTTACAAGTTGCTTCAGGGCCTCACTAAGTTGCTGAGGCTGGCCTCAAATTTGCAATCTTCCTGCCTCAGCCTCCCAAGCCACTAGGATAATACTGTTTGTTTTTGAATGATTATAATCCTGCCTTACAGAATGCAGATTTAACATGATGATGTCTTTACCCAAATGTTACTTCCTGGGAAGCCTATCCTGACCATCCTATTTACAGTTGCCAACACCCCATCTCTTCTTGCTTATTTTCATAGGAATTGTCATCTCCTCACCTACTATATATTTTACTTATTTATCTACTGTTATCTACCCTTGTCAAAGCATAACCCTGACATAGTTGTTCATTCATTCATTTATTCATTTGGTCTTCCAGTATTTAATGAACCCAGCCAGATGCCAAGAATTATGCTTAGCCTGGAACGGGAAACTACAAAATAAAATAAAAAAAAAAAAAGTCTAAGAGTGATCTCCAGGAGATTGTAATTCAATTAGAAACATCAAACAGTTAAGCAAAGACATTGAGCAGGGTGTAATTTTTAAACATGAAAATAAGTGGGGCAGGACAAAGTAGGTGTGTTCCAGAAGAAGTGAGCAGAGGAGACAGTCTTGAATGAGGGCAAAGCTGTTAAGAAGTAGATGAAGCTTAAAGGCAGGTTGGAACTTGATGGAGGAGTTCAAGGAAGCAGCATTTGGCTCATCATCCTGTAAGCGTTGCAGATTTCAGAGCAAGAAAATGGCAGAATAGAAATAATTCATTCAAGCTGAGCACAATGGCACATACCTGTAATCCCAGAGGTTTGGGAGGCTAAGGCAGGAGGATCATGGGTTCAAAGTCAGGCTCAGCAACTTAGTGAGGGCTGAATCGACTTAGGGAAACCCTGTCTCTAAATAAAATATAAAAAAAAGGGCTGGGGATGTGGCTCAGTGGTTAAATTCCCCTGGGTTCAACCCTTGGTACAAAAATTAAAAAATTACTCAGACAAATCTGGTAGTCAAAGAATAATCAGGACAGAGGAAACTGGTCTGAGAAGTCGTGGAGGTTGAGGGACTAAAGGAAGGTGATAAATGAGAAGGGAGGGTGCCGGTGGGAGGCATAGCTAAAGAACACAGCTCAAAAGGCATTCGCTTCACATCAGGCAATTTGCTAAAGAAAATGTTTAAGATCATCAACCTTCAAGAGGACCATGAGTGACTCACAGGAGACTCTGAGGTTGGCCCTTGAATAAGAAGAAAAGGAGTAGGGGACAGAGAAAGTCCAGGCTGGGTTGGGTTAATCTATGCAATGTTCAACCAACGCAAAGAGCCACATAAAGAGGGATAAAAATGAGAAGAGGGGGGAAAAACGAGAATTGCTATTTTAGATAAATCCCATATGCGTTAGGCTCTTAATTTACCTAAACCAGATGGCTAGGCCCAGGACTGACTAATTTATTACACGCCTGCCATTCAGAGCCAGAGCTTTCCTTAGGTTCCTAAGCAACCCTGAAGGGAAATGTCAGCTGGCATGAGATTTCCTAAGCAGGTCACGTGACCCAAGTAGGTCCCACGGAAAATGCATCCTTTCCTCAAAATCACATATTCCAGCCCACACCTGCCAGTCTGCCTCGCCTTGCTGGGGCAGGCACATGGCCCTCCCCTCTCTGCAGGCAGGGTGGTTGGGAGTTCTAGGAATAAGAGAGACCAGAATAAAGGGTGGGGAGAGACTTAGAACAAAGCTTTAGAGTTTGGGTTTCAGATTCTCTCTCATTGTGCTGTGTGCTCCTCAAATTTTTCTCTAAAGAAAGGAAAGTGTAGGGCTGGGATTGTGGCTCTGCAGTAGAGCACTTGCCTAGCATGGGCAGGACCCGGGTTCGATTCTCAGCACCACATAAAAATAAAGGCATTGTGTTGTGTCCATCTACAAAAAAGATTCTCTCTCTCTCTTAAAAAAAAAAAAAAAAAAGGAAAGTGGCCATGCACTTATAAAGGAAGCATTTTAAAAAACTATTTATTTAGTTGTAGATAAACACAAAGTATCTTTATTTATTTTTATGTGGTGCTGAGGATCGAACCCAGTGCCTCAACATATGCAAGGCAAGCACTTTACCACAGAGCTACAGCCCCAGCCCCTACATGGCAGCCTCCAGGGACAATTAAGTGGCCGTCAAGTCCACCCAGCAAACTCAATAAGGGTTGAGATAAAAAGAGAGGATTGTAGCCAATCCCAAAAAACAAATGCCAAATGTTTTCTCTGATATAAGGGAGGTGACTCAAAGTGGGGTAGGGAGGGAGAGCATGGGAGGAAAATTACCTCTAGATAGGGAATAGGGTGGGAGGAGAAGGGAGGGAGAAGGGGACAGCTAGGATGGTGGAAGGAGACGGTCATCATTATGCAAAATACATGTATGAAGATGTGAATTTGGTGTCAACATACCTTATATACAAACAGAGATATAGATAAATGATGGTATAAAGGTGTATTAAGAATTGTATGTGGGCTGGGGATGTGGCTCAAGCGGTAGGGTGCTCGCTTGGCATGCGTGGGGTGCTGGGTTCGATCCTCAGCACCACATAAAATAAAATAAAGATGTTGTGTCCACCGAAAACTGAAAAATAAATATTAAAAATTCTCTCTCTCAAAAAAAAAAAAAAAAAAAAGAATTGTGTGTGAAAAAAATAAGAGAGCTCATGTATAATAGCATAATTTGGAGTGAATATACTTTATACACAGAGTTACGAAAAATTGTGCTGTGAATGGATAATTATAAATGTAATGCACTCCACTATTGTCATGTTTGTAAGAAATAATTTTTTTTAAAAAATGAAAAAAAAAAAAAAAGAGGATTGGACGGGCTGTGGCTGGGGCTCAGTGGTAGAGCATGCTTCCCATGTGTGAGGCACTGGGTTCCATTCTCAGCACCGCATATAAATAAATGAATAAAATAAAAGTCTATCAAGAACTAAAAAAAATATATTTTTAAAAAAGAGAGAGGATTGGAAACACGGGAGGCTGTTTTAAAATCTGAAGAGAAAAGCATCACAATACAACAGAGCAATCCTAACAGTTATTGAGGAGAAACATATGTAGCAGGCCATGTAGGAACTATATTCTTCACCCATTTTGTAGATGAGCAAACGGAGGGAATCCTAAGGATTTAAGTTAGGTCTAGCAGGTAGTAACACTGTCATAGCCCAGTTTGTTGATCTATCCCATAGTAAGAAAATTATTTGTCAGCCGGACACAATGGCACACACCTGCAATCCCAGTGACTCAGGAAACTAAGACAGGAGGATCACAAGTTTGAGCCAGCCTCAGCAATTTGGTGAGGTCCTCAGCAATTTAGTGGACCCAGTCTCAAGATAAAAAAAAAAAAAAGGGCTGGGGATGTAGCTCAGTGGTCAATAGCCCCTGGGTTCAATCCCTGGTACCAAAAAAAAATAATAATAATAATTTTAAAAAATTAAAAAACAAAAAGGACTGCAGATGTGGCTCAGCAGTATAGCACCCTGTATTTAGTACTGTATCCCCAGTACTAAAACCAACAAGTCAACCAAAAAGGTGGGGAGGAGGAGCAGAGAACTGAGCATGCCAGGTTCCCTGGAGCGTGTCCTATGGGCAGAGCACAGAGAGGAAGCTAGCGGGAAATGTGGTTGCCAAGTAAGGAATGGAGCTGGTAGGTTTGGATACAGTCTGAGTGTGACCCCCAGGGTTTCCAATGGAGGGAGAGTGGCAAGGTTGAGAGGTAGTGAACTCTGATGAGGGAGGACTCAGCCACGCACAGTGGTACACACCTATAAGCCCAGCTTCTCAGGAGGCAGAAGGATCACAAGTTGGTGATCAGCCTGGGCAATTTGTCTCAAAATAAAAAATAAAAAGGACTGGGGATGTAGCCTAGTGGTAAAGTATCCCCGGCATCATCATCATCATCATCATCATCATCATCATCATCATCATCACCATAACAGAGACTTAACTCATTGGTGAAGCACCCTGGGTCCAATCCCTAGTCTACACACCCAGGCAAAGAGGAGGAACATAGTAGAAGGTAATTAGGTTATGGGGCTCCACGCTGATGAATGGATTCATGCTGGTCTCAGAGTGAGTTGAGTTTAGAGGAAAGGAATTCTCACTCTCTAAAAAGTTCTGCCACAGCAAGTGGTTCTATGTGAACCTGGTCCCTCCTGGGAATCTGTCTTGCTTCCTATCTATCTTCCACATGTGCTTCCATTATTGTGATGCCATCTGCCATGAAGCCCTCACCAGAGTAACAGGAGTCACAATTCAAATCCAAACTCTAAAAGGCTTTCAAATCCCAGCCTCGCCACTTATTAACTTTGTCCTTGGGCAAGTTTCTAAACCAAAACAAGCCTAGTGTCATGGAGTGGATTCCAAAAGTTTGTTTAAAGTTACAATGATTTAAATTTTTAAAAGACAATTATTAAGACTACTGTTTGATAATTATATATGTAATTACACTTTAGCCAAGCATTAAATTAATTTTTAAATACAAAAAAAGGGACAATTCTTTATTAAATATCTCAAAACAGTTGAATTGAGTTGAATACCTTGAAAATACCCAGGCTGTTTAGTGCTGTATTGGGGATCCATAAAAAAGGACTGAAAAGAATAACCGTTTTTAAGAGTCCTTGGCTACGCACTTGGGTGCCCAATTGCCAAATAAGAACAAGCAGAGACAACAGGGGAAACTGTTAACTCTGTTAACCATGGAAGCCACAAGGAGAAAACAGTTACGGACCCCCCTGGAATTGAATGTCTATAGCTCAAAGGACCAGGCAGACTCCCCCAGTGAGACAACTGCCTTAAGAGGGGAAGGTGGATTGCGGGGTGCAGTGGCACAATCCTGACATCTCAGTAACTCCAGAGGCTGAGGCAGGAGGATCCCAAGTTCACAGCCGGCCTCAGCAACTTAATGAGGCCCTGAACAACTTAATGAGACCCTGTCTCAAAATAAAAAATAAAATGGACTAAGGATGTGCCTCAGTTGTAGAGTACCCCTGGGTTTAATCCCCACTGTCATAAAAGAAGGAAGGAAGGAAGGAAGGAAGGAAGGGAGGAAGAAAGGGAGGGAGGGAGGGAGGGAGACTGTCTAGTGGATGCCTGGGGAGGATCATGAAAAATCAGACAATTGGAGGCAGAAAGAAAGGAGAGAAAGAAAATAGAATTCTATAAATAATTAAAATGCTTCTCATAAGGCAGTCAGTTTTTGCACAAATGGACCAAAAGTTGAAAACGTTGTATAATATGTATATCCACATTATTTGAATAGTCTTTGGTCTACAAGAGTGAGATTTATTGCTTTTGGCTGAAGAACTTTGCAAGATTTGCACAGCACAGGGTGAGCATATTATCTTCAATAGACGTTGTAAAATTCTAAATAGATGTAAGTTAAGGATTTTCTGAATCTAACAGTCTAATACTTCCTTATCCCTCATTGTCTGAAATTTCTGAAATTACCTCCTGTATTTGGGGTGATGGCTAAAGAGAGTTCAATCTGTGGAATTTTCCCTGACTCCACATGTCAACATTTACCAAATGCCCAAATGAATGTCTTATAATCCTCATAACAAACTTCGAGGTAACAATTTCCGTTTTGCAGACCAGAAATCTAAAGCTCAGAAAGATAGAATAACTACCTAAGATCGCAGAGCTAGTAAATGACTGAAGCAGGATTCACATGGGTCTGTTAAAGACCACAATGTAATCATATATTCAAGAGCTTTTTTGTTTTTGGCAGTACTGGAGATCAAACCCAGGGCCTCATACATGCTAAGCAAGGGCTCTATTCATGAGCTATACCTCCAGCCCAAGAGTTTTTAAAATC